TAAAACAAAGAATTACTCTAGAAAAAAATGCAACTTGACTCTCAAAATGTGCATAAATTTCTTACACTTCTAAGTTTTGATATTTTATCGGACAAAAGGCATATATCCTATGCATGTCATAAGTAAAATGCATGAAATGATGGTACTTGTTGTTACCCTGCCTGATGCTAGGCATTAAGAGGATAAACCAGGTGTGGTCGTGTCGGAACTGGTGTAATGCGTGTAAGAGGGTACGTATCCACATTTAACTGCGTCTTGTCATGTCAGTGGCCTGACACTATAAATCTGCAAAATACGTGCCGGCAATTACAACCAGCTACACAGTCCATCGCTATATAAATACCATTTGAGTGAACAGGACACCAAAACAGTTTTCATATCGCCATTGTGGACGACTGGGAACACGGATCAGTGTTCACCTCATACTATTAGACTGTTCACAGAGGGCGAGCTATGTCATTACAAAAAGTTCTATTGACATCAGACATAGAGGAAAAATAACCAAAGTGATATAGTTAGAGCAATCGACAAAGCATTACTACATATCTTTCATAACATCATGAAATATTCATACATGGACCTGTATACGAGGATGTATATATTTAAAATGTATTCAGTTCAGACACTCGTAAAATCCATAACAGGGCATTCATGGCGGATTTGATTCAGTGGCAATTGTGAATATTATGTTCAAAGTGCTTGTAACTCGGAAACTGAAAGTTGTGGGGTGTCTGTGTGTGTGTGTGTGGTGGTGTGTATGGGGGGGTGATGTCGGGGTTAACAAATGGAGTTAATTGTAACTCAACTCCAGAAGAAGTTTAGTCCATGTACTCTTCAAATTGATCGACCAGTTGAATGTTTACCATTCACCTCAACGTTGTTTGATCGTGTGGTCACAGCACACACTTGACACCAGGATGTATTAGTGGTCTTCAGTGGTTTGAGTCCACACATATGTCCTACATTTGTTTGTTACATCTCCAGTCCTAAGGGTCTGGCTTTGCACGCAGTACCCAAGGATCGATTCTTGGGCCTCTGCTTTTACCATATACGCATCTCGTCTTGGTGACACAGTCAGATCCTTCAACCTTGGACTGTATTTATATGCTGATGACACTCAGATTTACTTATCTTTTTAAACCCTTGGTTCTTCTTTATTTGTCGCCATTGAAGAGTGTGTTAGTTGCATCAAACACTGGATGCCATCACACTACCTCAAACTGAATGACGATGAAACAGAACTTATAGCTTTCCACCCTAAGAGCCTCCAAACCGGTCTCGCCCTTTCTTAAATCGGCATTGGTCAGTGTGAGAATCAGCCAAAGCCTAAGATGCGTAATTTGGAAGTTATTTTTGATTCCTCACTGTCCAAGGAGCCACATATCAATAACATCTGCAGAAGGGCGTACTACCACATTCGCAGCATCAGGATGATTCAAAGATACCTGGACGTCAAGATTACGGTATTTCTTATTCGGGCATTTGACTACTGTAATGCACTTCTTGTGGTTCTCTCCGAATCATCTTATACACAAGCTTCAGAAGGTACAGAATACCGTAGCCAGAGTGATCTCTCAGTGAAAGAAATCGGACCACATTACCCCCGTTTTACTCACTTCATTAGCTTCCCGTCCAGTACCAGGTAAAATATATAACTCTGCCCTGGGTTCCAAACCTATCCACGGTCTAGCTCCTAGTACCTCGGTGGTCTGTTCCACCGTTATACTCCTGCACATTCCGTCCGATCAAATGATCAGTGTCTTTTTACAATTCTTGTGACTAGGACAGAAAAAATATGTGACAGGTTACTCGAGACGGCTAGCCCTCATCTCTGGAACAATCTTCTATCTCACCTCAGAACACAGCAATAGTTAGCTGTCTTTAATTCAAATCTAAAGACTTGTGTATTATTAAAGCAACTCTCTCTCTCAGTCTTCTGTGCATGTGCGTGTGCGTGCGTGCGTGCGTGCGTGCGTGCGTGTGTGTGTGTGTGTGTGTGTGTGTGTGTGTGTGTGTGTGTGTGTGTCCTCAACTTGATCACTACAACGTTTACATGATAGGGCCAGTGAATGCATGTGACTCAGTGGATGTGCGGGATGGAAGTAGGCAAAGTACAATAAATAAAATGAAAATGACTGCTCTGCACTGGCATAAAACTTAGGTATTTATGGACCCTGTAAAAACATCATGGCAGCTGTATAGATAGGTTTCCGAAAAATGTTATGATATGATGAAATTGTATGACGAAAATGGGAAAAGGAATTGGGTGAGTGATATTAGGGAGTTGTTGTACAAAACTGGTTATGGTTACGTGTGGTGTGATCACAATGTTCAGTTGCATACCAATTTTATCATATCATTTACATTACAAAGAATGAAAAGATATCTATTTCCAGTCTTGGTCGGAATCACTACTTCTATCCACAAAATGTTTATACTATAACCAATGGAAATCGGACATACGTTTTGAAGACTATTTAGCAAAAATCGGCGTAAAGAAGTTCCGTATAGCTCTCTCTCGTTTTCGTTGCTCTTCCCATGAATTATTTATTGAAACTGGCAGGTATGCAGGTATACAAAGAGAAATCAGAATATGTCAGTTATGTAATATGAGTACTGTTGAGGATGAACTACATTTCCTTCTAATCTGTCCTGTTATACGTGTCTACGAACAAAATACCTAAAGCCATACTATTATAAGCATCCAAGTGTAAGAACATTAATTTCACTATTAACAGATACTACCACATCAATATTACAGAATCTGGCAATGTACATCTATTTCGCTATGGATTTAAGAAAAGTATATTGTTACAGAAAAGAATTTATAAATGATTTCTATCTACTCCATGTAAGCTCTAAATGTACTACAGGCCTGTGGCCTTTTAAAGTACTGAAATAAAGATTGATTGATTGATTGATAGATAGGTAACTTTTAACCCACTTTCAAAATGGGAAATCAGGGAAATATGTCCATTCAGATAATATATTTCTTTGTGGGTTTTGTTTTGGGCAAATGTAAAAAGGCTACTTTTTGCTATTTTTAGAATGTACATGACAGCATTTCACATCAATGTAAACAGCCTAAATACCCCAAAAGTGACCAAGGGTAGAACCCAAGTGGGCAATCAGCTACCCCTAGGCCCTAAACCAAGAGGCCAAGCCAGTGAACAAGAAACCAACACGTGGTAAATATAATTCAGACAAACATTAATATTTTGTTGATCTGGTGCACTCCATTTGAAAAACAAACTTTTCCTATTACTGCATGTTTTGCCCTAACTAATGAGTCAACACTAAGTCTTGTTTGCAAAGGCATTTGTTTTTATTATTATTATGGTTTCCAAAACAAAATATACTGAAATTGTGTTACAAAATGTCTCTAATTCAATGTAAGATTTATTCACAGAGTATGTGGAATTCCTACTCAGGGCCATTCTCGAGAGAAGAAACATGTTTCATTCCTACAGACTTGCAGGACACAACAGCCTATTTCTCCAGGATATTCTGCCAGAAACTTTCATTTTATAACTAGTAAACAGGAACTGGTGAATTCAGTGACATCAAGATATAAAATGACATCATGTATTTGTGTCTAGGGTGTGAACTGAATCCAGTTGTGCCTGATGTCTTAAAGGTCTATTTTATTCGTCTGTTTGAATCCTGGGACTTGTTCAGATGGTAAATGTTACCAAATTGCAGTCACCACTGTGTCACATGGTGTTATTGGAGAGCAATCTTGTTTTCTTTGGCTTTACCAGTCGATCCAGTTAATTTACACACAAGCGTGTTCCTTCATGATGTTGGTGTTCACACTGTATTCATTATATTGTCGTAAACAGTTTGTATGCAAATAAATTATTTGCTTTAATTTTTTGTGTGCTGGTTTCTTGATTTGATCGCTGGTCTTTCTTTGGGACTGATCACAGTTCACACATTACTACTAGAACACAATGAAACATATTATTTACTAGCTGACAGTTAAAGAGAAAGATAAGGATTTGTCAGTTCGATTTTTTGCATCTATATTTATTTATTATATCGATTATCAGCTGTTTTAAGGAGGTTACAGGTCTTTATCATTTCACATTTTATGTACATTTTGCAGATTAAGTATCACGACATATAACTGATGCTTTACGTGTATGGATATTGAAAAATGTAATAAAAGTGATGTTTGATGCACCATACCAGAGACGATACACCGACTTCTCTGAAAACATACACTAACGAATTTAGGGTACTTCTCTACCATACAGTAGTGAGATCGAACTTATCGACTTCCGTAACGGTACGTATTTCATAGGAAAGATTATCACCATACTAAAACCTTTACGGATAAATTTAGCAGAAGACACATTTTATGAAATAGAGCTGAAAGTTACTCAATAACCTTCATAAATTCATGAACTTCGAACGTAACTATTTCAGTGTTTACCTTCCCATACCGATGTATACCGGAAGACTCAACACATTGATCGAACATTGCCGTTATCATGACTGCAAAATTTACCGTGACCGCGGAAAAAATTATTCAGTATCTAATAGGTTTTCCATGAACATTTCATAGGCATGTGACTTGCATACCAGTCTGCAGTAGGTCTATTCAGTCGGGATCGGGATCGTCCCACGGCTGAATGTTGTCAACTGTCATCAATATTCCTGTCGGAATAGTTGTATGTTTGTGATGTTATCTGTATCTAGTATGCCATCCAAATCCAGGTTTGACTTCGTGGATTTGCTAAACTAGAAGCAGACCTTAGTGAGCGAACAGGCTCGGTGTGTTGACTCTCCGGTATGACGTCACGCGATCACGTGACCATCTACCTCATTATCTTGAGTAATCGCGAAATGCTTTCGAGGGAGGTGCGTTTCAGATTCCAAATACAAGCTGTATAATGAAATATTACCGTTTTTTAACTGTATTTTGTGAATATTATATATACCAAAGGGTTCATTAAGAGCGAAAATAAACAATGCGAAGTGACCTTTTTAAAAATCCTTTAATTGTAGAGGTTCAATGTTAATGTGTCATTGGTGCTTCTCCTTTAAACTCTCAACATAACTCAAGATTAACATCTCACTTTGTAACTTTGTTGCGCGTAAATAGATAGAGTGGCTTATATGCAAACGTAAAATTAGATAGCAACACAGCAGTTAATGTTTGTGAATATGTTGGGCTGGCAAACCCAAGCTTTCACTCCTATATCTATTTTTTGAATGAAATACTATATAGCAAAATGATAATATTCAACTAATATTTAATTGCAAACCATCGTCCAAGTGAAACGTTCATTTTTATTCGCATTGGTAGTCCGTCGTTTATTCCTTTCATCAGTGCACTAGCCCTATACATATATACACCGCATCACACGTTCATACAATATTGCAGTGAATGGTCATTTTCAGCTCACGTAGTCAGTGGCCTGTATAACGCTGACGCACACGTCCCCACTATAGTCTCCCAGGTGTGTTAGAGGTGAGGTGAGGTGAAATTGGGTTTAACGTCGCGCTGGAGAATATTTCGCTCATATGACGACGTGCATGCGTGTGTATGTGTATGTGCAGCTGCTTGTACTAGCCCAGACTTAAGCTGGTTTAATAAAGCTAGCCCACTGAGATACCAAGCCTCAGTGAAGCATGAATACCCCACTCAGACACATTATACTGACTCCGAGCCGGCCAGTCCTTGTTGTACCCATTAATGCCGAGCGCCAGGCAGGGACCAACAAGTACCATATTTTAACGTCTTTTGGTGTGACGCGGTCGGGATCGAACCCGCGACCTTTAGGCTCTCCGGGCGGACGCTCTAACCACTACACCACGGAGGCGGTCAGTTGTATTAGAGAGAAAGGTGTTAGCTTCTGACGACGATGACATCTATAGGATGTTTTGGGGTTGTGGTAAGTGCCAACGATTTGTTGACGGTGAACGGATTCAAACGGGTACCAGTGTGTTGTCCAGTGACCCTTCCTTGCAAAACATTCCCATCATGGAATGGAGCTTATCGATGACATATATACTTGCGTGCACCATTATTACACAGTTTTCATGCATGCACAGCCAAATCTTCAATGAAAAGATATTTTAAGCGTTGGTGAATATATAATTGTATTATGTAGCAGTAAAGTATTTAGATCTGACTGACAAACCAACACAACGTTATTCTGGTCATCTGTATGAAGCGCAAATATACACCCAATAAGATATGAGTGAAATCATGAATTGAAACAAATATAGCAAATGCATACATCGAGATCTTGAAAGGATGGGATGGTAAATAGTTATAAACATACATACGAGGGTATAAAAGTTGAAAATCAATACAAAAGCTTTTTCAATATCCGGTATTAGCACTGTTTAGGTCAACACATATGCGACCATCCCGAAATTCTGAAAACACCAGTATCAAACTAAACCTTGATTGAATATGATATGATATTAGCATCAACATAAGCTGTATTTAAATCTAAATATACGTCTTATACAACCAAAACAATGACTGAATTTACATACTTCATAGTATCTGTGCAATTATCTATGTCTGTAATTCTGATGAATAAATGGGCCTAACAAAACCGAAATCCAGAAATAGAGAAATTCTTCCAAATTTATCAAAGTAAACCGGGAACATTTTCATAGTATACGTACAGGTAGAACTATTAAAACCTTAAAGTGTGTCACTCATGAAATCAGTTAGGTTTCCCTATCATGAATGAGCAATTTCAAGAGATGTGTGGGGAATGGTTTCATATATCTGTGTTCCGACAGATTCGGGCACATCCTGTGATGTTGCGGCAAGGGATTCTGAATCTGTGTTGACAGACGCAATGGTGAAATATGTCTCTCCTGTCATATATTCGTCTTGTGAAGACTCAGCATGGAGAGCGTCATATGTCCTAGCGTCAGGGCCAACGTCATCGCTGTTCTGTGATTGGTCAGATGTTTTGTTAGGTCGTCTGGAATGTAAGCGTATTCAAAGCTTACGTATTTAAAAAACAAACCTGCATTATCTCAAGTTGAACCATGTTCATATTAGGTATAAGTCTATCTTTGGATGAAAGGGGCATACTACTTTTCAATTTTGTTTCAACATTTCTTTATAAATCCAGTTAGGGTCCATGCAGGGAAACAGATGTACTAGTCCCTAGTACTGTGAGCTGTTGGCAGTCTATAGCCTGTGTTTATGTTGTATTCTCTTCTGTAACTACAATACTTTAGAGTACATACTAGTTTCATTTTCATAACTGGGATATTCTAGTTGTTTTACTGTCCTTCATTGATAGGCTTTTTATAATTTACCAATATTTGCTATAAAATTTAACTTGTTTTTAGTCACGATATGGCTGAAATATTGCCGATGTGACTTAAAATCTTAACTCACTTTACTATTTCTTTAAATATATAACGTGACTAAAGTCACTCATTTACCTCTTCCTTCTCCACGAGACAACAGAAGCGATGACAGCACCAACTACGAATGCAACTGCCACAGCAACAGCCAGATGAATAGCGTTATATCCGGCGCCTTGAGGAATCCTTGCCTCTTCTGAATACACGAGAAGCAATGTCACTTTTCATCTTTTCAACATTATAATTATTTTTGTATGATTGATAGTTTGTAAATTGTTAATGTTATAGGTTATTTCTGAGGACACAGTATAGTCGCGATGTGTCAATGTTGTGACCTGAACATTCCAGGAATGTCCACATGTGGGTTGTGCTCATGACTGTTTACCACTATTACCTATACAGTCGTGTATGGTAAATCCTGTCTAACACTCACTGTTACAGTCCCTTGTGTTTCAAGACGAGTTCCTGACACAAAGTCAAGGGACATGTATTGTCACAGTTAACTCCCGGACGTAGACTAACAGGCTTGAACATAACGTGCCGTCATGTGCTTTATAGACACACTTAGTCCACTAGTCTAACGACAGGTAAATGTCCCTGCAGAGTGGTGATCCTTTGTTGTGCCAGACGGCCATGATCCTGGTTTTTGAAATACTGTTAAAACTGACATTGCACCTCACCATCTCACTCCACTGACGACCTACCATCTTCACCTGTACAGTCGTTCAGTGTCCACCCAGTCTCACATCCACTGTCACAGTCTCCAGTTGAGTTACAGGAAGAGCTCCCTCTACAGTGTCTGGAGGTGCAGGCTTTCAGTATTTATCTTCAAAGGTTACATCTTGAACATGTGCTAAGAATACGTGCTAAGAATTTTCGTCTCGGATACGATCATTCAATTTACACTTGCGATATATATATTAATATGGTGTCAGTTTCAAACGGATAAGTGTGTATTCAATGGTCATTGGTATATGTATAGATGCCAGACTATCTTACGTTAAAGTTTGCCAAGATAAGATTACTGTTGAACATGTGAGTGTGACCTTCATAAATATAGACTGAGATGCTCCTGCACCTATACAAAACACATGGGAGTTGTTGACTGTGATTATCTTTATTTGTACAACATAAACCTACATCTAGATCAAAATAGTTTTTTGTTATAACGTAAACTGACAAACCAAAGATATATTACCATCCAAAATTGTTTGCTCCTACAATCAGAACAGGACTAATGGCACAGAAGCTGCCTGTGTGCTTATATTGTCAAAAGACATTAATCGAGAGCATCATAGTAAGCTATGTTGTGAATCAGAACAGTGAATGTATTGTTGTCCACAGTTTGGAGGATGAGGATAATGTAACAGCTTGAGAATTCTGTAAGGTTTAAATCTGATTCAATTTTATATTACAACATGTCCCTGAACCGAACCGACCACAATTCAAACATTTCTTAGTTAAGATTCGGGAAATGTTTAATGCAGTATGTTCATATAATGTTAAAAAGGAATCATGAATATGTGCGAATATTTCACGTTCACACAGTTGACGCAGTAACGATCAGCATCACATTATAGAGAGAAAACAAAATGTATGAATTACCAAATACAAGTTTCTCTTTTTTCCAAGCATATAATTCACGTGAAGCATGTGAACGTGTCAGCATAATAATATAATAAGCTATTTTGGAGTTCGAAACACGTCCAGTCAGATATTGATTACAGAAGAGGAGATCGTCTTTGCATTCTACGACCTGGTTCAATTCCACGTGCTTTTGAGATGCTGTTGCATACCACTTTCGACTGTTGTAATAGTGTTACACCTTCTTCCTGACATAATGAAACAACATTGATGGTGTCAACATCATCAAAATAGTTATCAATTCACGTAGCATGAATAATATGATATCAAATACACAAAATGGTTGATCGACTCTGTAAAGTGTCCATAAAAGTCCACAGCAGGTCTCCTTTGTTTATGAACCTCTGTCAAATAGTAATGTGCCAAACGCAGACGAGAAGGTGCTGCCCCTGCTTGCACCAATCACAAACACGTACACAGGCAAGTCAAGTTATAGTGTGCCACCAAAGGATCGTTTTGTCACATTTAATCTATATGCTTACATCGAAATAAGAAACAGAGGCGGTTACAATGGTCTCACAAATTTCCGCTGAAGTCGGTAAATCAGTGGTAAGAAATTGAACATTTCACTATTATTGATCGAAACACCTGCTGCTAATTAAGTTAGCGTTCTTGACTAAATCCGAGGCACGGTTGGACCAGTCGTTTAAGGAGCCGAACAAGGTCCCCAGAATTTGGTGATAGTTTAACGGGTACGACACCTGTTCACTTTCATTGAACTGAAATGATGTGATATAACTGGAATACTGTTCAAGGAGGCGTTAAACCCAACACAGTGACTCATTCAAACCCAAATCAATCTTTTTTTTCATTTTGCCAAACCGAACAGGAATTCTGATGTTTTTATAAACTTAGATCGGGGAGCACAAATAGTGATTCCTTTTGATTGATGTCATATTCTAGATTTTACGATGATCTTATATCCAATGAATTTGATACATTACTCATATTGTATATTAATATAAGCTGTCAGATTAAGGGTCATATAAATCCTCGTCGTGTTTTCTCCAGGTATTAAACTAAACATCGAAGTCATGTAATATGGTCCCTAGTATGAAGATCTACCTGTATTGTCCAAAAATAGTTTTCTACTTTTAAAGGTCACATAAACCCTAGGGGTACAAATACGTAAATCACTAACTGGCATCGTTATAAATGAAACCCCGTCATTAAAACTACTCATTTCGACCTTTAATTGACTTAAATCGACCTTTTTGACAACAGTGCACAATTCTCACCCGCGAACGAAATTTCAACCAATCAGAGCGGCGCGCCTCTGTGACGTCATATGAGGAATAGCTTTGAGAGCCGATGCAGAATTCATCTACGTTTTAGGGGTAAATTATCGTGTTTACAGGCTTGTATAAACCTGAAATCGTGACAATTGTTGTGGAAAATGAAAGCTATATGTTCTCACAATCTACTGTCATTTAATTTTGTCTCCTGCTTTGCCTAGTTTCCAAGTTACAACTTGTTTTCATAGACGATTCTGTCAAAATCGATTGGTGTCGTTAGGCCCTATTTGTATAATGACTGATCCAAATTTATCCCATTTCTGTGTTGTTTTACCTCGATATTTAATCATGTCATGTAAAAATCTGTTTGTATTCTCAAAACAGTGTCGGCCCATAAGTTTTCACATGCAATACAGCAATTAATACTCCCTCGTTGTAACCCGTGTTAGGTGGTATAAACCTACACATGTTATTTGTCATCATTCACTTGATGGTCAGTTAATGAATTTACAACAGGTATAATTAGTGGTAACACACTTAGATTACCCGACAAAGGTTCCCATTTGGCATTTCTTGTGTCTGGAGTAAATATTCAACATTATAAACATCGATCAAAGGATTAACCGATAACACGCTGATTGATTAATTACTTTTTATCTTACACAGCGGAATTGTCAAAAGGTAGTGTTTATGTATGTAGATTTACTAATCTATACTGAATACACTCTGTCGTGTCGGTGTCTGCGTAAAACAACGTCCTTCTTCAAAGGATTAACCGGCAATACATTGATTGATTGCCCATTATTGGCTAACTAAATTACACTTTTTAAAGAAAGGCGGACATTATGCAATTAGATTTGCCAGGTGTGCTATCTTGGGTGACTAATGAGACTATACACCAATACCTGAAAAGATTTATCACCTTTTCGTATATTAAACTGTTAAAAGACACATCATTTGGAACAGTTTTGTGGATATTGATGGATACATTCCTCGAACAAGGTAATGGCCTGATATTGTTCCTATAACTTTAATCTGTTTTAATTTCATTATTTGCATTTTGTTTTATTCATTTGTCGTAGCATTCAACAGAATCATTGTTTTCGCCGTGAAGTGTAATGAGACAGACAACATGCACTAGGGTGTGTGTGCGAATTATGATTCACATTGGCAAACTATAAAATGTCTAGATATTACAGTTCTGTTATAAATTCATTATAAGTATCAGCAGATCGTCTGCTTTTATTTGGTTTCAAAATTCATACAAGTGTGATAATAAACTAATTAGGATTATAAGACCAAATATAAAGACGCACATTGACTAGTATCTACATACTGGTGAGTGGACATTAACCATGGAATGTAGCAAGAAATTTATCGCGCAGTATTGTGACTTCGACCCCACCTTGCTTCCGTGGAAGAAATCGTTATGTTATAAGTTGTGTCATGCAAAATCCGTTTGGTTATGATTCCAATACATATTTAACAACGAGTAGAAAGTAGTCTTGATTTTCTAACTTGATGAAAACAAACTATAATCTCATTAATTCTAACAGATTTTTTATTTTTAAAATGGCGGCGCCCTATCGGGAACATCCGCCAGTCTGAGGATAAATGGTATTTAGGTTTGTTTTCACCGAATTATAAAATCAAAACTACTTTCTACTGGTAGTAAAATATGTATTTTATTGATGGCCAATAGGATTTTTGCATGACATAGCGTATATCATAACAATTTCTCTCGTGGCAGCGAGGTGGGTGTCAATATAATACTACTTACAATATTATTGTTACTTCGACCACAACCTCACTTCCGAGGAAGAAATCGTTATGTTACAAGTTGTGTCATAGAAAATCTTTATGGTCATCAATCATATGCATATTTTACTACAACTAGTAAGTAGTTTTGATTCTTTAACTTCCGTGAAGCGATCTGAACACAAGTAAGATATCGTTTCAGGCTTCCACAACGCTCGCTTCGCACTCACAAACATAACCCATTTAGCACGAACTGCGGGGTCCTGTGGAAATCTGTGCATGGGGACACCATCGCCCGAATCCCTAGGAGCAATTGACGACAAAGCAACGATTCGGCATGTCGTCGTTGATGTCGAGAAATCATCAAAATGATGAGCGTGCTACAGCATTTTCTCCATAATGCGCTGATTGCTTCTCGTTATAGTGAGTGTTGCTTCATCAAAGAAGGGTCAAGCTATTGGTAACACTATTTCTTAAAAGTTGTAAAATCTTCGTATTTGTTTGAAATATGTACAACTAAATGTTTTGCAAACTTTCTCAACAGCATGGAAAAACACATCAGGTCGTTGAAATGTCAGTATTACGTTATTTAACGTCAGATACATTCTGTTTCAAATGGCACATTGTTTATTCATATTGTCAACATGGAAACCCACCTGCCACTTAATGTAAATGATTTGCACGTGCAAGTCGCTCTATCCATGGGAAGTGGAGGACAATACACATGCATTGATGCTTTTCACTGTCCTTCACTGTTCAGGTAGCTTTTCAAATCGCACCTTAAAATGAGGCGGGTTTTTTACACTTGCTTATTTTCGGAATCTGCTTTAATGTGAGTCATAAGTGCTACTGCTATATTGTGGCAGAGATTTCAAGCCAATTGGTCCGTGGAATATGGACGTCGACCAGGTCGCCCCAGAGTCACAACGGTCCGAGATGATAGGCACATGATTAACCACATGTCCGAGGGGTCTATATCTCAATTAGGCTATGGTAAAACAACGGTCAAACATATCCTGATACAGTAATTGTTTATGTTTAGGGTTTACCCTGTGTACAGTCCATCGCAGTCCATCCAGGGGGCGACACCCGTTGTCACATGACCCAGTATGCCGGTCACATGACGATGTATTAGCTGCACAGTTCCTGTTGCCACACGTCTCGTTACAGTTGACTCCGTAATGGTCCTGATGACATTCTGTGCAGCAGAAAGGCCGCAGTCCTACAGATAACTTTTGGGTCATTGAGTTATGTACTCGCTTGTGTTCATCTCTCAATTGGGTATCCTAACTGCCCTTTGACAAACCAAACACATTGTACACACCTCACTCCAAATTCAATCAATTTGGGTATTTTGTCATTAATTGTCAAAATATAATAAAGTTTAAATGTTGGTTTACGTATTTGTTATTTATATTGATCTGTAAAATGAGAAACGATAAGAAAGACTGCAAGTTACCAAGTTCATGTGCTGAAGTAGAACCTCTCAGTATACCTCAGTTATTTTATTTAGACATTCCTATGTGTACGCATGTAAGATCAAATATATTGAGGCATTTACAAAAATTCAAGAGTCCTTGCACGCAATAGACTTAATAGAAATTGAGTTTTTTACATAAATATATGTGTAATTTACGCAGATACGCAGCTTATCAGAACCTCTTTAAGGCATCGTAATGTTTTTACGATTTCAATTAGGTTTCTGAATAATTTTGAGCATTTTCTTTAATTGATGACACAGAGGAAGCCAAGGCTATTCAGTAAAGTAATAGAGCAATAGTCAAACTTTGCCCTTGCAAAGGATACTTGGCTTATCATGTTGTCACTGCATGTCAATAACTGGGCTCACAGTAACCTAATGTCCTCAGCCGCACGTACTTTAATTGCGCACATTCAGAATACCATGTGTATGTGATCTTTACCCTCCAAACCCATCCACACCTGGTGCACACTCGGACTACTATGTATATGTGTGTGCTTTAAGCCCGTACCTTCAAAACAGTCTATACCAATCCACCCTGCTTTACATCCGGGCACACATGATCCTGTCACATGATCACATGGCGAGTTCCTGCACAGTTCCTGTCAGTACATTGCTTGCTGCAGTTTTGTCCATAGGTCCGTGAGGAACATTCTGTAAAAGAATACACGATATTGACATGGAAAGAGTGAGTTGACAATATTGTGAAAGCTGCATGTATTATAGTGACGAACTGATCGTCGTTGATACGAATTGTACTGGAATACAGATCCATTGGTAGAGGAATTGCACAGGCAAAATGTATACTCTCAAAAGAAACGCTTCATGAAAATAGCAATTTCATGTAGCAATGAATTAAAACGTGATTCATTTTACAAAGGTTTTGCTCCTATTTATGAGTCCTATGGTGTTTATGTTTTGAAACATCACAACAAAACGCACCATCCGTAAAATACCGTATTTAACAGCATGATTTTCAATTTCCGCGTGTAGTGTCCAGAATACACAATCACATGCAATGCACGTGAAAGTTGGGGATCAGATAGTCTCAATGACGGGTATAAAAAGGTTGATCGCTGTCTGTCGATTATTCACTGTATTTGGAATATTGTTGACGAACGCAAAATGCCACGTCTAAGTGAAGCCAACCGTCATATCGCCATTGGTTTGCTTGAAGCTGGCCAGTCTCAACGATGCAGTTGCCCGACGCATGAATGTTCACCAAAGCTCTGGAGAGATATCGCCGGCCGAATTCGGCAGCAGATGCCCCTCGTAGTGGGCGACCTCGAGCGACCACTGCGGCGCAGGATCGCTACATCCGGGTACATCACCTGCGTCATCGAACAGCTACGGCGACCAGTACCGCTCGACAAATACCCGGATTGAGGAGGCTTTCGGCACAGACCGTCAGGAACAGGTTGAGAGAGGCTGGTTTACGCCAGAAGACCTTATTTTGGGCCCTGTGCTTCGACAACAACATCGTCAACATCGAGTTCAATGGTGCACCAACGTTCAGGCCTGGAACCTACCGAATTGGCGTAGAATCTGGTTCAGCGTGATGAATCACGATTTCTATGGGAACGACGCGATGGAAGAATGCGGGTGTACAGGCGTCGACGTGAACGTTTCGCCGACGCTTGCGTTCCCCAGGTCGACAGATTCGGCCGGTGCAGTGTTGTGATGTGGGAGCGATCACCTTCCGTAGGAGAAGTGATTTGGTGATGATCCAGGGCAACCCTGACAGCTCAACGGTACTGTGACGAAATCCTACGCCCACACCTCCTTCCAATCATTGATCGCCAGAAGGAGTTGTTTCAACAGAGCAATGCCAGGCCCCAGCACAGCACATCACACTAGAGACTTCCTCCAGAACCACGACATCAATGTGCTCCCCTGGCCCTCAAGATTACCGGACTTAAACCCGATCGAACATCTGGAATGCCCTGGACAGACGGGTGCGACGCCGTAACCCTCAGCCCCAGACACTTCAGCAACTCGCAAAGGCACTACAGGCAGAGTGGGCTGCGATTGGGCAACACGAGATTCTGAGACTTATTCGTTCGATGCCGAGGCGAGACCGTGCAGTTCTGGATGCCCACGGTGGTCACACGAGGTATTGACTTCAGCGCCACCACACGTCTCCATGTGACACTCAAACTGACTTTCCTCGAGTTGGTGCCAAAGGCGGATAAGTCTGCATTCCTAGTGTTCAATTTCGCTTTATTTCATTGACTCATAAAGCCTACAAGATGTTTCAAAATAAACATAACAATACAGTTGAAATTCCTATATGCGTTTCTTTTTGGGAGAGTATATTTTAGAGTAAAGTGGCCATCGTGATATTAAAAAGCAAGTTTCTGAAAAAAGATCTCAGTGAAGAGCTAGAGACAATGGTACATACTGACATAGTTGCCAATGGTCGTGTACAGATACATGCATAATTCAGCACATCAACCATACCAGAATCTACATGATTTCATAACGCTATTTTCATATTCTATGGTTATGGTTTACCCTGTGTACAGTCCACTGCAGTCCATCCAGGGAGACACCCGGTGTCACATGACCCAGAAAGCCGGTCACATGACGATGTATTAGTAGCACAGTTCCTGCTGCCACATGTCTCGTTACAGTTGACTCCGTAATGGTCTTTATCACACTCTGTAGACGAAAGGCGCTCGTTAATTATGGAACGGATATATCCACACTTTTTAGAGGTGTCTCTTTGTCATATCAACACTAGGTATGGTTAGATCCTCACCTATAGAACAGTTTTGTCCCCGCCACCCTGGCCTACAGTCACCAGCACAGATCCCACTGACTCCATCACAGGGTCCATCAGAACAATGGCAGAAATGGCTGCAGTCTGTACCAAAGGATCCTTGACTGCAAACTTAAAACAGAATCAAAGAGTTTACTCCGCTTCTTCGTTGACCCATTATTATACATTAGCATTACTTGGACAAAACATTATATTTTGTAGGAAAACAATACCAGTAAACGAGATCTCATTGTTATATCTATTTACATCCCCGTGTGGTGTACGTGTTGCACTCCCTGTAGAATCTACAGAAACGGTTGACTTTCATTATATGAAGAAATAGGAATTATTTCTTTTCGGCAGCAACTGGGTATGCAATCACGATAACATGGATATGGTTATAGGATCATACTAATTTCTGAACCTTGAAAAAGTGTAAAAGATTTCTTAAATTGAAGTCGACACTTTATTGTTACTGTAGTTGAAATCATGTTTCAAGATATTGCTGTCTATAGTAACTGACAAACGGTTGTCATCTCCGAAGAATTTACGAAGCATTTGAGGAAGTGTTGTGAGAGTGTGTTTTTTGTAATTCGTAAAATCATTGATTAAGTGATAGTTATTACGGGTCACAAAGTTTAAAGTTATGAGAGTTGGTGCGGCTCACATCTTGCATCATGTATGTTCAATGGCAATAGCAATTTTAGCGGTACGCCTTTCTGATAGCGCTCCAGAGGTTTTTTTAAATTTTTTATTTGTGATTCTCCATACATCCAGGTCATACAGTTCATTACATAACGGGTTGGTATAAACACGATTCGCAAATATATACAAAGTCGATTTACAGGCAAATGTGCATTCAGGTGGAAATGAATAGGTACTTGAAAATATAACAGCAGTACATTATATATAGCGCTAGATTAACAGAACAGATTGTGACATAGTAACCAAAATTTTGTGAAGCTGTCATATTTGCAATTTGAATAGGCATTAAAACGTTCAGCATAATATGTTGTCTTTACGTCTTCTATAATGTAGTTCAAATTTGGTGTTTTATCTCTTTGTTTCATTTTGTATATATTATATTTCACTACTGTTATTATCAAATTCAGAACATGGTTTCTCTTTTCACAATATCTTGGAATAATATTTTTCTTTGAAAAGATAATATTTGACCCTGTTTTTTCGAATATCCATTCTTCTATTTTCTTCCAAATAGTTTTTATGACTTTACAGTCACAAAATAGAATTGATTCTTTCTCGGATTTGCAAAATGTGCATGTGTTGGAATCTTTATATTTCATTTTTGTTAGCAAATCATTTGTTGGCAGAAACCTATGCAGTATACTGTATTGAAACCACGAGTGTTTTACACTATTATACGATTTAAAGGTTGTTTTTTCTATCGTTTCCCATATGTTATCGTCAATAGACTCATTAAGTTCTTGTTGCCACTTGTTTCGATATGTTAAAGGTTTTCTAGATTTACCATTTATGAGTATGTCATAGATATCTCTACATCCTTTTGGGTTTCCTACTATATTTCGTAAAAGATAGGGCAAGATCGGAGCTTGGATTTTCTCTTCAATATGAAAGTTTATGGATTTGCAGTAGTATTTAATTGATTCCACTATTCCTTGACGCTCTAGGAAGTTAGTTTTGCACCCAAACGATTTTTTTAATTGTTCCACCGTTAAAAAGTTACATTGGGCGTCAAACATGTCGTTTATATAAGTAATCCCTTTGTTTATAATTGATTGGTTTTCCATCTATTTTAATATTGTCATTTAACCATAAGGGTTGGGATAAAATATCACGTGCATTTTTTGCATTTTCTGCTTTTCTGGTTACGAATTTACCCCATGATTTCAAAGTGTCTTTCGAAAAGTGATTTGTTTCCTGTGTTATTACTGATTCAAGTATGTGTGTTTCGCATGTTTGTATAAAGCTGTCAATTTCTTTAATCATTTGATCATTTGGGTTGGGTAGAGTTACAAATAAATGATTAAGTTGCGGTAAAAGTAAACTTTTCAATATGGTATTTCTACCTAAGGTCTCTTGCTAGCCATTGATCAATTGATACGAGGATCGGTCAAAAAGTATTCGGCTTAACTATATTCTCGATGTCCAATGTTTGAAAAGCTTCCATTTTAGTTTGTAGGAATCATTAGCAAAGCCGTATAAAAAATTTCACATATGTGGATTAACGAGATATTAGTCATCATAACACATTGGGGTATAATATTTCTAGAAAAAATGCAGAAAATGAAAAACGATCCGTCATTTAGTACCTCTTGGATAATGGTATGCCCTCAGATAATGTCATATAAAAGATGTTAGTATAGTATTGTATGACTTCCCGTCATAATCAAGAGTCAAAGCTTTGGATTGCTTGATTCATATTTAGTCGGGGGCTGTTTCTTTTATAGGACGCCCCCATTTAGTTTATCAAAAACATTGTGTCCAGATATTCAAGTTGGCCCTGTTTACAATATACTGAGAGTTGACACTTGTGTGACCATTCAGTATTTACTTTGAACCTTTAGCATCATGTGTGAAAAAGTGAAAACATTAGAATATGTTATGTCCTTATGATTTCGTCGTCTGAAAGGGGTGGGTAGTGTCTCCAAAACAAGCTGTTTCAGTAAACATGAAGGGGGAATCACTTTAACAAGCGATTGTACTTTCAAATTGCTTTTTTATGCACTTTAATATCTAAGTTTGATTCTAGCGGACGTCTACCTATCTCAAACACACAAAATGTTTCCTGCATATTTTGTTACCTGAAGTTTGTGGTGCATTTATTGCAGATTTTGCGCTTTTGGGGTGTACCAAGATAAAATTTCAAACAAAATGGGGATCGTAAGGCTGGAACGTAGCAAAACCAATTTGCTTGAGGTTGACAGATAATATGTAGAAAAATAAAACATAAAAACAGCTGCATTTGTATCATTTACTAGGTCAGGCCGACTACTTTTTGACTGTCCCTCGTATTTTGAGAGTCTTAAGTTTATCTTTATAGTTGCGTTCAACCTTTTCTGCGATGTTGTGAGTAAATACAATTCCTAATAGTGTAAACGAGTCCCTCTTCCAGTCTAAATTCCAGTTTCTGCAAAATTTTCTTTTAGAGTTTTTTTTCTGAGCCTATCCATAATACCTGTGTTTTGTTTACATTTATTTTTAAGCCTGAAAATTTATTTTTAAGCCTGAAAATGAGGCATATTTACTAAGAATTTCTAATGTCGCCTGTAAACAGAGTTGCCTCCTTTGGCGTATTTTTGTTTTGACTCCCTGTCGCATGTTCGACGAATTTCGATGACATTCTGAGTGGATAATGATGCTGCTTAGTTTTGCTAGAATGCTCGAGAACTGTGTAAGGGCTATATAAAGGCTGGTTGTTGCGTTGTGCGGCAGGACTAACACACGGAATCACATCAGACGTTTCATATCACTGCAGTTGTGTACATCTGTCTGCCATCATCTGCCTACTGTCGTCTAGTATGTCTGTCAACATTTCAAGACCGTCTATTCGTCTACTCTCATTGTAAACAACCTTCAATCAGTATATCTGCTCTCACTGTAAATGTCAAGACTCTGGTGAGTTAATATTTATATTTGTGACCCAATATTTTAGATTTGTGACTCAATTGCATTGTACTAGAAATCTGTATTGTCATTCATTGTAGTTTGCTCATTATTTGCTCAATATATTATTGAATATTTTAGACTTGTCTGTGTTCTATTTTTGCTGGTTCAAAGGGGACTCTTAAACCTTTTGTCACGGCAATTTATTAACCGTAACATAAGACAAATGTGGTTGGTGCATTTGTAACGGTGATTAATGACAAAAGAGTCTGTCCATACCATAGATCTCCACCTCGCAGAGATTCAGCTCCGCCCAGCTGTGTGTGATGGTAAAGTATCGCCCCCTTCCATCACAGATGACATCGTACACAGAGTTGCCTGTTGCAGTGTTGCTGGGGAAGGTGTAGCAGGGTACGCCAGATGTGGAATTGCTGGAGTTACTCAGAGAGAGGAGAGCGGATTGGATTTTCCAAACATCTAAAATAATGATGGATGTATGCTTCTGGTAGGTGGAGTTGTATCTTTAGGCTATCATCATTATTACGTTTATTTATTTAGCATAAGTTTTTTATTGAATATGTATTTTATTGTGAATGATTATGAAAGACGGGCTAAAGAAATTCTATGATTTCTATAACAAATTGTTCACAGGTGCGTAAAGGTAACAAACACACACACCATGGTGGACACTGGGAATACGCTTGTATAACGTTATGAACGATTGCAACACCAGACCTCCCACTGCCTTGATCCTTTGGAGGTGGTGTCTGTGTGTTCATTGTAAAACAGAGTTCTAAGTGTATCATAGAGTTTCGGTTCAGATTCAGTGGAGGGCACAGGCGTGGTCGTTACTATTTTCAGACAGAAAGTCAAACAGGGCAGAGGTGGGGTAGTACTTTATTCAGAGTGTAAGTCAAAACGACTTTGAAAGCATCTCGAACACCTGAAATAATCGTAACAGGAACCTCGAGAAACCTCTGGAAGATGTTAAATATAGTAAAGGTATTCACCTTCTTTGCTATGATCGCTTTCATAATTTCATCGTGTCGTTTTAAGTAAAATCAAGAAAGAAATGTAGAAGCTCTATATAAGAACACAGAACACCTTTGTGTTACAAAACGCGAACGACGTCTACGTTACATCGTGACAGAAGTCAATGGTAAAGGTCAAGCAGTTACATATAACTGTTGTCTATGCCATTCTGATTGTTCAAATTAAGTGGTATGAGACTGACAAGAAAACGGTCCTTCAGGACTCGGTAATCAATAATTCACGTATGGAGGCATGGAAATAATCTGATCAAATCTATAAAAAGATGGCAATACAGAAGATCAGGGATCATGGATGAACTAAGTCAGAGTAAATACACAATCAGATTAGCTAAGTAAATGTATGACAGTAATAAATAGAAAACAGCTACATCACCACTTCGACAATATCTTATTCCAGCAATATCACGAAGGTGGACACCAGAAATGGGCTTCACTCATTGTACGCATGTGGGGAATCGAACCCAGGTCTTCGGCTTAACGAGCAAACGCTTTAACTACTAGGCTACCCCCACGGCCCAGTTAACACCCGAGAGTTATGGAACTCAACAGTAATAGCGGGACACAAATACTATATCCCTAAATCTACGAGAAACGCTTCAACAGACTAAGGACTCGGGAATCAAATTAACTGGTCACCAATTCTCTGACGATAAATGTAATTACACTGGCCGACGACGACTGCCGGACTTTGCCGAACGACGACGGAAGATGGACAGTGGATGGAGAGGGAAGAGTTGGACTGGTTTTACTACCCGGTATTAACGTATCCATTCTTCAGTGAGAACATATGCCAGATTCCGTTATGTTGATTCGTAGAGTTCTGGTTTGTTTAAAATTATTTTTATTTGTTCCCATAATTGAATACAAGGATTAAAGCAAAGCAATAAATGTACAAATGCATGACCAAAGTTCATTGGGTCCAACAAGAATGTTACATCAACAGATAGCATAAAGGAATTATAATCCAATAAAGTTGTTAAACTTCAATTAAAGATGAATATTTATCCAAGAAGTGTGTGTGTGTGTGTGTGTGTGTGTGTGTGTGTGTGTGTGTGTGTGTGTGTGTGTGTGTGTGTGTGTGTGTGATAGATAGATAGATAGATGGTGAAGAGAGGAGAGAGAGAGAGAGAGAGAGAGATAGGGCCCTTCTCGTTTCCTTATTAAGAAAAAATATGCGTAGAATTCATGCTTGTGTTTGTATATCAAATAATTTCGAAGCGATTATTTCAACAGCATATCATGTTCTTACGGGTTAATGACGGGTTGATTGACAATGCTAGTTACTTAACAATGCTAAATCCTTGTAAAAATTAAAATAAATATACTAGTACACATTATATATTGTACGTGCAAACCACACTTGTAATATGTAGTTATCCGTTCACTACACTTTAATTTGTCACTCCTTTATTAATACATACAGTTTACATGGACTGCATATTTGGTTTTATGTCATTTAATTACCCAGACATGGGTGTCAGTGTATCAATTCTGACTGTACTGGTAGCCCTGGTTTGACACTTGTGCATGACTATATGATAGTCACATTAACCTTACCTGGGTAGTATTATTACTACATAAGTGTGTCATGGTAGTATATTTTATGAAATGGGAGAATACATTAATTGAATAAATGGTTTCCATTAATATAGGCCAATACTTACAATGTTGGTGTCCGATGACCGAAAGACAATATTTGATTAATTTAGGTCATATTTTATGTCACCAAACTGAAATTATCACCGTATTATATGTTTACTTCCATATCATGCATCATAAGCTATCTTTTGATATGCTACATGACTATGTTGTGACAATGTTATGAAAACAGTTTTGTCTCGAAATGTCGCAAGCAATTTTGGGAACTCATATTCAATCACCCCACAATGACACTTATAACAAACAGAAAAAAGGGAACCACGGTTTTTTTCTGAATCCATACACAATAGTGATTGCAATTAGTATTGGTTCCAACAATTGACACGTAATCCCCACGGAATTACACAAGCCCTTGCACTACAATGCCTAATAAAGTGATTTGGGTTTTTGGAATTATTATTCAACCATAAGGGTTGTTATAAAATTCCTTCAATGTTGTCTGCTTCTATGGTATGTTCATTACAGTATAATCCCAATGCCATTAAAGCATCTTTCCAAAAAGGATTATCAATTTCAACAATTTTCTGAAAATTTGCTCCATATTTTAATATATCATTTCATGGAAAATTACATGGATTACTCATATTTGTATTCCTCAAAAAAAGTGTGAGTGTAGATAAGATCATGACATTAACAAAGGTTTTAATATCTGTCATGCGTAAACCCCTTCTGTATAATCTTTTTTAATGTGTTCCGTTTAATTTTGTCATTTTTGTCATTCCAAATAAATATGAAAATACTCTCTCAAGAAAAGTAAAATATATTCATCAATTGGGTTCGTTAAATATTTGAAAATGTGAACCAATGTTGAAAGAGCCAATGTTTTAAATACAGGGATTTTGCCAAATGTCTTTTTTCGCCATGTTGCGAATAATCTATTAATTTCTCCAAGTCTTTTCTTGTGTTGATTACACCTGAGTCATTGAAATCAGGTGTGAATTTAATACCCAAAACTTCAAATCCTTTCTTTGCCATTCTATATTCAAATCTTGACAAATTATATCACTGCTACCTGCATTTGAGCCTATCCGGATTGCTTTAGTCATATCTATATTTATCCTTAATCCTGACATATTGTAAAAAATATTAATGGTATCAATAGCAGCATACAAACTTTCATCTGAGCCATCCAAAAATAATTCAGTATCATCAGCATATTGTCCTAACTTATATTCCTGAACATCAATTACAATACCCTTTATATCATTATTTTGTCTTATCATACATTCAAGGATTGCAACCACCATACATCCAAGGATTGCAGCCACAAAAAGAAACAAATATGGTGATATTGGATCACCTTGCCTGCAACCCCGCTCATTCGTCAGTGAAAACATATGCCCGATTCCGTAATTCTGATTCAAAGAGTTTGCTTTTCGAACTGATGGTATTACCAGTCAATCCTTTGGTGAAAGAACAGTCGTGTGTTGTATACCTGATTTCAGACTTATTTAGCAATTTGCTAATGTAAAGATGAAATGTTGAGAAATGAGAAGGATACATACACCCATCCCGGTTGTATATCCTGACGTCATGTATCCTGTACTGCTGTCCCAGGTCCACTGTCCACACACTTGGGTGGTCTAAGGCTCGGAAGCAGGAGTCATGTGCCAACTTCTGGTTCCGGTTCCCATCTACAGCTTTGTCTGCAGACCAGTCAGACTTATAGATCTGAGAAGATGTAGTACGTTTCTTGTAGGCAATGTTCCCTGTTTGAAAAGAAACATCACATGATCGAATGTTCTCAAACATTACCCACACACCCAACAGTGATATATGTCATCCAAAAACAACACGTATTTTAATTACATCCGCAAAAGGTTTTAAATGTAATCGTAATATCCAATTGTCCACAACCTAATACACCTTACTTATTTTCAGTATCAGCAAAACCATCAACAATATGTTGATTGTTTGGATCTTGTCTCTCGAGGCCTATACGGCGTCCATATGGCCACAACAACCCCACACTTCCAAATATGCTGTTGTTTTGATATGCCGAATATCCTTATTCCCCTCTCCACCACGCTACATCTCGTAAATACAACCATTTGATATCCCCTAGTCACGTGGGTTTAGGCCTAGAAGCAGTGGTTAAAGTTGTGCCTGTGTCTTTCTCTCATAACATACATTGTTTTCGCTATTTCTTTAAAACCGTGAAATACACTGATGTACAAAAGAAAGTCGACCCATAGTGTTTTGGTATTATTTTCCAAATCGAATAATTCAAAAGTGTCTTGATTGTGACAGTTGATACACAAATATGATGTACATGTTGCCAAAACACCACGTATATCAATTATGGTGCTCTGAGTGGAATAATTTGTTGAATCGCACGTGCATGTTATGCGCCAACGTATGAAGACAATCAATTGAGATTTTTAGTGGTGTAAAAGAATACATCAAAATGCCAAGAGATACAGCAGCAGAGTGAGAAAGTCGCAGATGTCGGCTTCGAGCAGCCATATTGCCAGAGCGTTCAGCTGTACAAGGCAGACCACATCACACTAATGAGACGCGTCAGCCAGACGTGTCCCAGAAGTGGAAGACTGAGAATGACCACCCTGCAAAATGGCCTTCGCCTGCGCATTTTCAATCTGCGCAACCGCATGCTCACGATGCCATCACCAGCATCAACAGCTTTTGATCACTGCATCAGCAGGAACACAGTGATGAGGCGACTGCGTGCTGTTGGGATCCGAGCCTTTCCCTATTTCGGGGAATGTCATGAACCTGTACACATCTACTGAATTGTCCATGTTGGGCTAGGGATGTGAGGTGCCGGCAACGTTGCATTTGGGTACGATATCTGTGTTGTCATAGCAACACGTACACGATGATATACTTGTAAGTCACAATCAAAACACTTTTCAATATATCTGGCCAGTTTAGAGAAATACAATTCTTAGAATACTGTTTCCAAATATCACCAGACCTTTTTTGACAGGTTCCACCACGTCCTCCAACCCAGCCTTCATCACAGCCACCTCCACAAACTCCAGTTGTCTGGTTACAGGACTGTCCACAGTGGCAGCTGTAGCTACAAGAATCTCCAAACTTCCCTGGTGGACAGGACCCTGACAGGAGAAGTGTTAGTAGTTAAGATCACAATCAATTCGACGAATTATTTTTCCGTGGTTCTTTTGGAAGGTAGGTTTGTCCACCAAAGACAACCGGCAACAATTCCTTAATACATGCTTCAATCATATTTTGCAATATCCAATATCTCATGATCACCACTTCAGATGTCTAACATTTTGCTGTAGAAACACTGATGACAATGCTTCGCCCTCTGTACTGGATCTCTGTCTAGATGGAATACCGATCTGTCACGATAAAAACTGATGGAGATGTCCCTGTAGAATACCAGTGTACACTTCACTTGCAGTTTTACCTTCGGATACACATAATGACACATCAGGCACCCCAAACTACATATACACATGAGCATTAATTCACCGCCTAAATCTAAGGGTATTTTTGTACAGTCTTGGTCAAAACAGGCTCCTTATACCGTAGATCTTTATCCTGTTGCTTGACAACGGTATAAGCATCTATACCGAATCTTCGCATCATATATAATGAATGAGTTGTTATCCATAAAGTATCTTACTTTCTTTCGAACTGATTTAAATGATGTACTAATTTTAACCTTTTTTATGACATGCCAAGACGTAGACTTTCAGGAAATACACGATGTCAAGTCAATGGCAAGCATGGTGCAGGGATGATGGAACATCTGTGTGTTAATTTGAACAGTAACCACGCGGTTTTTAGTCGACGTAGTGACGAAGTACATGACGTTCGCCGATGAAGTCAAGGATCATCCAAGACCTGGAAGACCATGGACGACCTACGGCCGTGATGACGGAGTCCTAATTTCTCTGACATAGCTGAAATATTTAGTCTCCGAATGGTTTTAATCCTCAACCACGTTGATGAACTGGCCAATCCTTTCTCAGAAACTAACCACAACATGGAGGGTTTTTAAAACAAGTAGGCTTTCAGGATTACATTGTGATAAGTTGAATGTTAAAATTTGTTTTGGTCAAACTATACTCGGTATACAACGGTTATAACGAACTCAAAGAGACCTCGCTTTAGCTCGCTATACGTATTTGTAGCTCGCTATACGTATTTCGACTAAAATATACAGCAAGCTCGACGAAAAATAACGACAGATTTCCTTATACGCCAGTTTGTTTACAAATGTGGTCTCCAGTATGTATCATACTTTGAAAATAAATAAAGTTTTGCGTGTAATGGATGAAGCATATATGGTTCCGACTTATATGTTTAATGGTCTGGAAACGCCAATGTTGTGACATGGATGGTGAATGTGTAACGTCGAGTGGAATCACACCAATAATGCAACTGGTTAATGCTACTTCAATCCCAGTGCGTTTAACTGACAGGCACAGTTGGACATCAACAACTGGCCTTGCTACTTGGCTGTACTGAATGCTAGACCCATGGATATGTAGTAATTCTATCCTTTAAGAGGCAAGTCTAGAAAAGTGGATAGAGGACGCCAGTCTGTTACGTATTATTTTAGAAATTAACATTTAAACTATGAATTATTACCTTAGAGACCTGTGCAAGTTTACTCAACAGTCTATGTTGGTAGTTTACACTGTATAAAACAACGCCCAACAAACTACATATTGTGAGCACTTGATTAAAGCATATTTGTTGTTGTTGTTGTTGTTGTTGCTGCTGCTGCTGCTGTTGCTGCTGCTGTTCACGAAATGTTGAATGAATTTTCACGAAACATTGATTCAAATGTTTGAATGCAAAACAACCACTTGTGTACGAGGGGCTATCAAAATGTTTTGAGCCTTAGATACTTCTGATATGTGCATGATAAAATAACTGTATGATATTGAAGAATGGTTTATATCATTTACATAAGCATAATATCGATATTGTTATAAGGTGAAAATGCATCCCTAAAGCAGTTTGAGAATTACAGCAGATTCCGTATATCGATTACCAATATGACTCAGAACTGATAACCTTTGGCTCATGACTAAGAACGGTTAAACACATAATGGAGACAGAAAGTCGGGAATAAGAGAAAGATAAACATGGAGATAAGAACTTGGCTAAAACTTTCGTGAGGCAAGGACACGACAAGGTCGTAAGAGGTAGGTTACGAAATACATGAGTTAAAGGGCGGAGACGGAAGTAGCAAATCACTGAAAAATGGGAGTCACTGAACGGTGCTGTCCGAGACCCTCTAATTATAATACCCATGAGTGAAAGGACAGATACAGTTATTAACGAATCAAAACGATATGTTGAAATATGTGATAAGATAAGGTCAGGCTCGTCTCATTTAAAAAGACATGTTTGGGCGCTAAAAGAGAGAGAGTGCAGAGAGTGCGGAGAGTACTAGCTCAACATTTCAGAAGCCAATCCACTTTACTAAGTTCCCCGTAGGATACGAGCCTCCTCTGTCTTGTGTTGGACTTGTACTTTGAGATATGGACTGAGAGACAGTAAACCGATGTGAGTATAGAGCTTGGTGTTGCGTTTATCCTTGAATGTATGTATGCCAGTACATGAATGTGATGTAGTTAGTTAGGAGTCAGGTCGCCCGACCCCTCACTGCTTGACTGAACATTCCCCATGGACCAAGCGAGTGCAGAGCTGGAGCTTACATCTCCCCTGACAATGTGGAACGACCATAAGCAATAGGTAACTGCGGTAGGGTTTACTAACACCCAAACGCCAGTTACGACATGGAGGAGTCTGCGGGTTTTTTTCCTGAACAAAATGTTTAAGACGATCCCTTTTGCTGTTTTTCTTATGGTCGATCCTACACTTTTATTCCATTGCGTTGACGTTTGACCGTTGGTTCCCTTTTTCGCAGCGGGGATATGTTATCTGTAGTTTTGCCTCAAGCTATTTGGACTTGTAATGCCTCGTTCACACGATTCAGATACATCTACGTCATACGACAGTCCGGTCCAATCTCGTCCCATCACTTCTAACATTTTTACTAATCAGGCCCGCCTTGGCATAACACAACCGACGTTTCACCCTCCCATTCCCCCTCCTTCTGCTCCTACGGACCTCTCCCTATTTCTTTCTCAGGAGGATTTAGAATTGTCATTTTCCTCTTTAGATTTGTCATCGGACAACAGTTCTTATTCTGCACCTGACTTCAATATGGGCGATTCCACTTTAATGCCAGAACATTTTACAGGTAGAGACACGTCTCATGCTGCCGAGTGGCTTGACCGTTTTGCTCATTTCGGTAACTTTAAAAGGTGGACTGATGCGCAGAAAATTGAAGTTTTCCCACTTTTTTTAAGGACGCAGCGTATCTATGGTACAAAGAACTGAGGGAATCGGCAGAGGAAGAAATTGTCCGTTTTGATGAGATTGAGAAATTGTTCAAGGACAAGTATGTCCATCCCACTGGCCGTTGGGCCCTTTTGGAAACTTTTGTGAGTCGAAAGCTCTCACTTACGGAAACTATAGATATTTATTTAGCGGACTTGACCGAAACAGCCAGCCTGTTAGAAAAATCAGACACGGACTTAATGGACGCTTTTGTCCGGGGATTGGCTGACAACACTAGGCGACATGTTTTAATGAAACAGCCAACTGTGCTTCATGAGGCAGTTTCATTTGCGAGATTGGCCTGGTCAGTCATTCCGCAGTCTGCAGAAAGTACGAATATGAAGCTCGCAATAGATACTTTGAGAGAGCAAATTCCTTCTCTTGCGGGGAAACTCGCTCAA